ATAACTTGCTTCCAGTTTTTCAAAGTTTGATGTAGTTCTTACCTGAAAAGCATACCATATATAGGGGGACAATATTCCTCGTTGGAAAACTTTTTTCCTGCAACCAAACAAATTTTCAGATTAATTTTTGTGCACAGTCTCTACAACCAAACAGATTTTCATATCGTATTTTTCTTGCACTTCCTTTGCAACCAATCAAAGAATTAAAGTCAAAATGAAAATGAAAGTTGAAATAGATGAAATCTGGAAAGAAAAAAGTCACAAAACCAGATATTTTCACACGAAAAAAAAAAGGTTCATAACATAAATGCACACATTACAAAATTACATAAAAATACAAATAATTTAACGCCATCAAAGACTTCTAACAAGATTCTTCAAATGGTCCATAACATTGGTCCATAAACATCAACAGCAGTGGGGAAAATCCACAGGCTGGTGAAGTTAAATACATAGTATGGTAATAATATAGCTAGTACAACCAGCCACACTCTTGGCAACATGATTGTAAGAGCAAAAACGAAGCCCAAGGTCATCGTTACTATTGAAATTATGAGTAAGAACATAGCGATCTGGAAGTACCAGGACAGCGTTCGGCGCAGACCAAATGTATCATAGGATTCTGTGAGTATAATTAGAAATAGCAGCATTGAAATTGATGCAGTAAAGAGGGAAACCACATCACATACTAGAAACCCGGAAAACAGTTTTGTATGCAATAATATGGGGATGCCGGTTTCTTGATTGTTCCCGCCAGGAACTGTAAAAATTGCCGCAAACATAATGGTGACAATTAAAACAGGTACCAGAATAAAAGAATCTGCAGTTTTCTTTGCCCAATCATTCGCTTCTTTTGTCAATTGTTGGTGTTCTACGTCGAAAACTTGTGACGGAGTTTGACCATAATGATTTTTGGCTCCTCCATACCAGCGTGGAAGGAGGCTTCTAACTTCCTGTCAATTCATAGTAGTATTAGCCTTAGATACTCTTGTTAAATAAGATTTTGAATTGAAACAACAATTCTCAAAATTAAATGAATTCACATAAGAATATTAGTAACGCAATAGTTATAATAATACATTTATATTCCAAAATTATAATATTATCTGATATTATTACTATATTATTTTTTAAATATAAAGTGACAAGTGCAAAAAAGTAAGAAAACCCCCGAAAAAGAAAAGCTCAACCAAGAAGTTTCATTATATAATAGAGATAATATTTGCCTGCCATTTTATAGTTTCAACAATCAGAAAGAAAACTTTTTTTTTTCTATTTACCTTCAATAAAATAAAATAACAATGTTAATTTGAGAAAAGAAATATGAAGTTAATTAGAGTTGACTGATAACCTCGAACCACTTTACTTCTTGTTGCATAAACCAAGCCGGCGAGAGAGTAACATAAATCCGAAAGTCTGGTAACTTGGCTACTAGATGCAACACGTTGTTTCCATCTTCATCTGTTAAAGAAAGAAATGTTTTCTTCCCTGCATCAAGCCTCAAAACAAACCCTAAAATACCTCCTCGACGATATTTGATTGCTGAGATGAGTATTTCTCTTGAAAGGTTTTCATTGCACCAAATTAGATCGGGGTTCGATTTGAGGATCTCAATCACAATTTCGAGTGTGCCATCCTTGATTGCTTGAAAGATCGCTGAGATTGTTCCACTTTCAACAAGTTGTGTGGCACCCTTGTAGGTTGATATTTTCTTGCACCAGTTTTGCAAAACCGAATTGGCATACATACGGGTTAACTTCAGATTATATACGTGCGTATATATATCTACACCAAGTCGACACAAAGAATCGTGAGGAAAAATTACTTGAAGAAATTCTAAAGAATAATAAAGACAAAGGTATAGTTTAGCGGACTTCATATACCTTGAACGATTGGTATTACACTTAATACTTTAATCCATGCTACTGCAATATCAAAATAGACAAACCCCATTCATATACTGGCTTGATATTTAATTTATTGTATGTCATTTGATTCAATATATAGGTAACAGAAGTATACCACGTATTCGGAAGATTTTTTTTCTGCTTCCATCCGTATTCTCAGAGGGAGATGGCAGCTTAACCATAAATAGACCTTCAATAACAATGAAGGAAATTAATATTACTTAAGTAAAAAATGGAGCAAAAAGCAGAAAAGAACTTTTATTTCTTTTCTTATATTTATTGTACATTTGGGGTGTAATTATACCTAAATATACTATGTTTTAATTTATACTAACAAGAGTTTAGGTAAATTGGTACCTATAAATTCGAAAACTTTAATTTGAGGTAAATGATAAATATTCAAAGTTCTGTATGTCAAATAGCTAACTTTTTAATATACAAAAAAAAAACTATGTTTTTATTTATTTGTATATTCATCTACACTTAAATATAATAAATATGGGAAAGAAAACTAAAGAGAAAGGGAGACTGTTACCAACATTTAGACAAAAGTAGCTCAAGAGGGTCAACCGGTGCCCTGCTAGGGAGTAGAGAAGGATTTTCAGACAATTCTGAAATAGTAATGGATTCTGTAGTGCTAGCTGCCAATTGTGGACAACGAAGGAATAGATCCAAACCAACATCTGTTAACAACAGATTAAAGCCATGAGCGTACAATCCAAAATGTATATGGCAAGAATTAACTATAAATTAGAACTTAGAAACAGGAAAGCCTAGCGATGTCCAACTCTTACCAAACATGACGTTGAGTACACAGTTTTTGAGGAACAAGGTTCCCTGATCGCTATTTTCTGGACGTAAGAAGAACGCAGGTGGAGTTACAGAATACAGATAGGATGACATATCCTTCTTCCTGTTGGAACACGCGACCACAAGTGGTATGTATCCTTTCTTGTTCCTAATAGTAAGCAATTTATCATTCTTTT